GGGAAGTATAAAAAAAAAAAAAAGGGGGGGGGGGGGGCATTTTGACAACGTGTAGGTGAGAAACTCAACACCATGGGAAACCTTCTGCACCTCAACAGAAGCTATTCTACTTTCCGTGGCTGTGCATGCTCTGTTGCTGAGCATGTAATAGCTCACTGCGTAATTCCCACTTTCTCTGTAATAACAATTATTAAGCCTTTAGGGGTATCTTGGATATGAGAGTCATTACATAAAACAAGACCTTTCTCTCTCTAATGGCTGGTTGTGTGTCCCTGCTTGTATCCCATAAAGTTGAGTCCAAAGGCTCTCGGGTCTACCCTAAGTAGTGCATGTGTTTGGAAGAGTCAGAAAAAATGTTAAGCTTGCGTCAACCAAGATGGGAAGAAATTCATAATAAAAGTGATAAGGATATTTTGATATAAGATTATCTTATTTTGATAGGAAAATAACCAAAATATGAATGTGCAAATGCATATTTACCTCTCTAGTTATTAAAGCTTACTTAGACTAATTAATGATGGGATTTTCAAAGAAGGTAGGTAGGCAAGCACCCAGATTGCCTTGAAACCCAATAAAAATAGCCACCTGCTACCTTGAAAAATCCCAGCTTTGCCTGCTTCTAAGTGGGCACGTCTACATGTGAAATTAATTTGATGCAATAAACTCCGGCGCAATTTGCTCTGGAGTTTATTGCTCCCAGGCACAGTGTTTACACGTACGCCCAGGTCCCCACAGCATGTTGAGCTGGGGTGGCGCAGTCCTGGCTAGCAGGGGGCCCAAGGGTTCAGCCTGCCAGCTCGGTGCTCTTCCTACCCAACTCAATGTGCTGCGGAGGGACTGACTAGGGTACCAGGGTGCTACAGTGCGGGGTTAACCAGCAGTGGGGGGTTACCCCACACTAGCACCCTTGTGCTCCAGCTAGCCCCAGTCAGTGTCTACACGTGTATTGAGGCAGAGTAAATAACTCTGCCCTAGGATAATACTTGTGTTGGTCAGTACTAGCCTATGGAGGAGCTAATTAGTTTACTCCGGCCTAATAGCACTGCATGTGTAGACGCTTTACTGCAGAGCTAATTAGTTCGCTCTGCCATAAACGTCTTGTGCAGACACATCCACAGTGTCTTTTTATAAGCAGAGTTTTCTACAATGCTTTGGAGCTACGCTTCCCTGTGATGTTCCTCAAGATGGAGTCACCTGTTGGTAAGAGAGTAGAGCCGATGCTTGAGCGTCTCTGTAGCCAAACTTCACATGAAACCGCTGTACCATGCCCGTGAAAAGGCCCTGCAGAATCACATGGGGTCAGTTAACTTTCCTGCAGAAACAACTAATCTTTCGGTTTGCTTGGACCTAAATTCTGTTAATTGGACTGTCTATAGTCATCGTTTCTTTGTAACAGTCAGGTTTTATCTTACAAAAAATGGAGATTTAAAAAATCTCCATGACTCGTTAGCAGCAGACCGGAACTCTGCCCCGGGAGGCTGGATACAAAATGTGATCTGTTCAAACTGCAAACTGGTTAAACTCAATCAGATTAAATCCTCACAAGATGCTACTGGGCTCACCCTCCCTCTGAGAGCATAACCTGGAACACCTGCCCAGCCCTCCCAGAGCAAGGCATTGACCTTTGCGTCGTACTCTGCAGAGCACGCTGCTATCACTGAAGACTTTCTGCAGCTAATAGCTTACCATCCTTTTGGCACTTGTGTGTCAGCAAGAGCAAGCTGCAGAGAAATGCCAAGCCATAAAGGAAATGTTTTGAGAGAGGGGGAAAAAATGAAGTGCTCTTCATACAAAGCGGTGAAGGATCCTGCAGTCAGAGGTGTGTTTATGGAAACAAGTGCTGATTAAGTTGAATCGAATCGCTTCTCAAAGGCAAGTTGCTGCGGTGTCTCCAATCAATTCCTCCTTTATTACATGCCACACATTTTAATCAGAATCAATAATCTTCATGATAAACAATTAAACAATTATTCCGTACTCTATTGAGTTTCTCTATTGAAATCGATGGGGTGCAGAGGCATCGTGACAGGGGAGAGGAGATCTGTATTCAAACAGTTTGGGACTGGTGGGTCCTGCACCTGCATTTCCTTT